AAGTTTTACGGGTATCAGGAAAATTTTCTCGGAATTTTCCGGAAAATGTGCCCCTTGGAAAATCGTTCCGAGAAAATTTCAATTCCTGCTATCAGCGTTCTGAATTTGAGGGATTACGGCTAACGGAGATATTACTGACTACCAGTATTTCCTTCAGACTCGTGTTGTAGAAGAAACTCTTTTTCTCTATGCTAGGCGGTAAACCCTTACTACATATATTGTATATTGTTTACAGTCTCAAGTAAGAAAATCTCAGTCTCTTTTTCTCTTCTTCCTCTTTCATTGCCTTTTTCGTTGACCATATATTTTGGTTAACTCAGCCCATTGCTTGCCGAGGTACATGTCCAACCGCAGCACTTCAGACGAACTGGATGATGATATAGGTGATGAGGATGCACAAGAGGTGGACCTGGAGACACTCGCTATCAACTAGTTACCCGGCCAACACACACACACTCCTCTACAGCTTCAAGTGATGGACCATGCTGACCCAAGAGCCTCTCCTGCACTATCGTATCCCAATTTATGTCATCCTCAAGGGGAGGGTGACATAAGTGTGAGATTGACATGAGAGCAGAGAGACTCCTCCTTGGTGGGAAGAGGGCCAATCAAGCCATCAGAGGATTATGACTTGTGACTCAAAAAAAATTATTAGACTTCACGACAGTACCCAGAGTAATGCTGAACTCCCGTAGCAGACAGACCACCGCGGCAGTATGCCCTTCTTATCGCTACTGTATCTCTCATTAGTGTTTGACTCTAGTACAAAGTGGATTGAGCAAGTTTTTTTTTTTTAGTGAGTCTTATTTCCTGTATGGTAGGACAGTATATACAGTAATCGTTGTTGTGTATACCATCTGTTGGCTTGGTGGCTCCCCTGCCCACTGAGGCTGGACAACGTCAGTGTAGTTCATACTTTAGTTACCCTCTTCTTGCCACACTATATTTTAACCAACACTGTGTCCTCATAAGAACCCTCTCAGTCTTCTACTACAAAAATTCATCACAAATCATAAATATTATCTCGTACTAATTCCACACCCTGCTTGTACTTCATCTTGTTTCTCAACTCAGCCATATTTGTACATTTCTAATTATTTGTTTATTGATAACTTTCTCCCAAATCTCTCCTCTTATTTTCTGTTTCAATTAATTTCCTTTTTTATCCTGGGGGTAATTTCCTTAGTATCTAAAGTTTTCCCTTCTTTTAAATCACATCATTGATCATATTATACCAGTCTCTTGTGCTCATGTTCATCATATTCAGCTTCATGTTTTGTGTTTTATCCATTCATGTTACTTTTCATGACATTTTCTCTTCCTTCTCTTCCACTTCAAGTTGTTATAGGTGATCTGTGTCCTCTACCATGCCGCCTAAAGAGAAGTTTCTATAGATTTTTTTCTCTCTGCTGTCAACATATTTCCTTTAGTATCTTATTAAGGCTTATTTAAGCTTTGTATATCTTTAACTGAACTCTCTTTATTATACTCTATTTTTCTCTTTTCTTCTTAAAGATTTTAGTATTTTTTAGATGTGAAATACGTAATTCATAATCTTTTATCACACTGTGGAGACCAGGGGCGATGGTCATCACAAACTCTTAAGATATAACAGTAGAGAACCTTTAGTCATCTCAGATGTATAATTGGCAACATTCCAGTCTAACAATTTCCGTACATTGTACATATTGTAGTCTGGCAAGAACCTGTTTACATGTAGGTGCTTATAACCTCATTAATTCCTTTATATGCCAAGATAATAAAAGCTGCTTTACCTGTATGATCTGATCATACTGAGAAGTATGCAACACTTTATCTTCATTATGGGGTAAATCTTGTAGACTGTTTTCCCATTTTTAGAATTTTACTTTTGAGTATTGAAAGATTTCCTTCTAAGGCACTGATTCCTCTATACTGATATATATATATATATATATATATATATATATATATATATATATATATATATATATATATATATATATATATATATATATATATATATATATATATATATATATATATATATATATATATATATATATATATATATATATATATATATATATATATATATATATATATATATATATATATATATATATATATATATATATATATATATATATATATATATATAGTATAACTTTCACAGTATTTCTTTAGTTAACTGGAACTTGCATTAGTAAAGATTGACTATACAGTATAATCATATTTTCTTCTTCTTCCAGTGAAGATTTAAGTACAGTACAGTATTGGTGCACATAAGACCTACCAGTTGATTCACTGTTTGCCAAACAGCCTCATCGGTTCCATATTAATTGTATTGTTAGTGTATTTATGTTTAAGATGCACTGGAGAAAAGTCTTAAGTTAATGGAAGTAAATTCAAACCCCCACACATGCATGATCACTGCAACTTGAATATCCAGAATGGTAATATTGGTGATCGTTGCTGTGTGCGTAATTGTTGCCTTACAACTTGTGGCCACTGGCTGGTTGGTTACCCTGCGGTGGCCCTCACACCCAACCTTTGCACCCGGAGGCCGTGGTCGGTAGTGTTGTGCCACGTGTATGACCTCTTCTCGGCCAACCTTGTCCTAGTAATCACCCAGTACTAGAAATGGATGGGAGATTTGCATGCAGCTCAAGTCACATGGAAGAAAATGTACAGTTCTCATGCTAGAGTTGGCCCTATAAAGAGCATGTAATGCCGAGGTCGAGGGTGTGAGGCAGTGCCGAGGCAGCCGCGGGCTAGTGTAATCCTCAAGTGTAGAGACAAGAGCCGGGGATTAGCGCTTGTGTCCTTGACGTGGGTGTCACATTGACCTGACCTGACCTGACTTGACAGATCACCATCATGTGCGTAACTCTGTCAAGACTGCCTCCCTGTCCTCCTCACTCTCCTGGCACGCAGGTGAGTTGCTGGACTGCAGGAGGAGTCTTCCTTCCTGCACACCTCCCACCAACAGGCTATACCACCCACAGCTCATTAGCCTCAGGAACGCACCCTGTCTTGTCCTCATGCCACTTGTATGTAGCCCTAAATGTAGGAAGCAGTCCATCCCCCCACTGACTTGCTGCTCATCAATCCCTCCCACAGTAGCCCCACTAAGGTGCACACAGTGTCTTGCACCTTTGCTATTTTGCTGTCATATTCTTTTATCCTACTGGTATACTAGACCCTTCATAGTTTTACATGGTATGAGTCTCTCATCCTGTACAATACATACTGTATTCTGACTTGGCATGTAATCAGCAGTTTCAAAGTACTGTACCATGTTTTTAAGTATTATTTTGGGAAAGACAATTATTCTTAGCTCATCATTGCATAGGAAACCTAGTACACAAGCTCAGTGAAGTAAAACTAATGATAATTCCCCCCCCCTCTCCCTTGACTCTAAACTAATAATAATATTTAATTGCCATCTTGATACATTAAGTGAAAGAAGAGCATCAGTTGAGCCTGAATAATGTACTGAAAGCTCATTGTAACTCCTCGGTGGGTCCTTTGTAATCATTGGTTGTGGGAGGCCGACTGGGCAAGATTAGCCTCATGTGGCTTATCACTCCTCTGCAGTGTGTTTACTCCTGGGTATGCCCTGCAGGTGGGGGTACAATTTTGATTGTTTGATTGCGTGCTGGGCATCAGTGGGGCCTCCACTGAAGCCTATCTTTTAGGCTCTTTGTTGTTGTGTTGAGCAGTGCACGGGTACTGTATCTTGCTGGCATCCTGGATGTTGTGCCACCCGACCACCTGTTGCTCTTGGTACATCTGGCATTCGTGTTATGTTGCAGATATTAGTTGCACTCTGAAATGTGATGTATTGTATGTCTTGGGACATTTTCAATGTAGAATAGACTACAGCATATAATTATGGTGAAACACATGTCAGAATGTAGAGATGTACCTGCTACCTGCTACCCATGCCGGCTAGTGAGGCTGTGTTGGATGTTAAATGTTTACTTCGCATGCAGCCAGGTGCTAGTGTATTGCAACTGGAAGTCGCATCCTCTCTCTGCTTTGAGGCACTGGATGGACTTGTAGTTTAGGACACTGTTTATACAGGTAGCAAAGAAAATGTGAAACACTATTTAAAGCTAATTGCAGCAGTGTTGCTCAGAGGTGTTATGGCTGTAGATGGTTAAAATGTTCACCACAAACTGCATTTTCTTTGTTCCTTCAATCATGCATTATGCAAAGTGAATTGATTAGCAAGAATGTACCCCTGATAATATTAAGGGTCATGTTTTAGACGAGATGGTAGGTGATTCACTTGTCTTGTGAGGCCAGACAAAAAAGTTCTGTGTCTGAGGAACCTTATCGGGTGCCCGCGTTCCCGTCCTCTCACAAATCATTAGGCTTTGGATGACGAACTGTAACTTTGCATTTTGCATGCTAAATTTAGTAGCCCAAATATTGAAAAGTAGTACATTTCTGTATGAAGCGTTTGCACATTATGTATACTGTCGATGATAGGGTCGTGATGATGGTATAAGGCCTAGCATGTAGGAATGCAAATTCAATGACTATGGTATAGATTAGTAAATTCATTGTTACGTAGTGCAGTATTTTAAAAATGTTCATAGTGGACAGATGGTAGTGTGGTAGTGAAGGAAACACGATTAAGGAGTTTATTCCTGACATTTCGTCACAAGACTTTTGAAAAGGTCTTGTTTCGAAACGTCAGGAATAAACTCCTTCTCTTACTCGTGTTTCCTTCACTACCACACTACCAGTATTTTAAAACTAGTGTATTATATAGATAGACAATTAGATGCCATCAAGTGAGTTGATTTATCTTAAGAATTGAAAACTGGAATATATTGTGGTATAAATGATATGTATATATATATTTATTTTTTATTTATTTTTATACTTTTTTACTGTCATCCAAGTTAGAAGCAACATGACCAAGCCAAAGGAAGTAATATTATTGGGAACTTGTTTTACCTTTCATGGTGCTTCCCTACTTACATCAATGTCTCTACCTGTTTCAGCCAATAGGAACAACAATGTTTTGGACCGTGAGTATCAGTGTTGGTGTGTCGTCATCTTGTACGAGTCCTACTAGCAATCTTATTATTGAACCACGTTTAACACTTCTGACTAGCAAGACTGGCTCTAGTACTTAGGTCACCAATCTTTGAACCATAAACACTGCCTGTATAGTGAGGCCAATGTATTCCTTGTGTATTACTACATAGCAACAAGTAGATGGCAGAACAATGTATTTATGACTTAACGAACCACACACTCCAGGAAGTAGTTGTATAATTTATGAAGCTTGTATAGGACCAGTGGATTTTCTTACTTAGAGAACACCACAGTGAGTGGACACCCCTTTTACACAGACAGCAACATGTATATGCACAACATGTAAAGTCTACACACATTTTCTAAGTTTCTCTAGAGTATTGTCCTATGTTCAAAAGTGTGGAAAACTTGGCGTTACTTACATACAGCCATCGAATCCTCAAGAAATTCTCAACTTTGACATCAGTTTGATACATGTAAATTAATGATTCATTTCTTTGATAATTCATCACCTAAATCAATATCCTTTTTCCTAGATGTTTGCCAAGCATGTACAGTATATTGCATGTTTCCCTCAACTTCTATAAAGATGTTTTCATATTAAATATAATTATTGGTCTGTAGAGATTCCCTGATTTTGTTGTGTGATACCATACTAATCTAATTACTTAATTACTAAAAATAAATGAGTGTTATATTTCTTGAATGTCTTTCAGCCATCCTTGCTATACTTTTGCACAGCATTTTTATTTTCATTTAAATTCCTTGAAAGTGGATTTGAAAGTACCGTTATGCCTCATAGAGTAAACAAGATTACAACTCTTGGCAGTCACATACTAATTGTTTCTTCGTTACAGCCCGCAAACAAGAAATCGTCAAGGCGACTGAGCAGCTGATTGATTGTATAAACGGCGGAGACTTTGAGGGCTACACGTGAGTATGGCACAATGGATGACATACAGTACTTTTGTGAATCACTCCGATGCTAACAGATGAGTTTCTTTTAGCGCAACAGTTAAAGGTTAAATTTAAATTACTTGGTGTCATCAAAGGGGTGTTTGTGTTAAAATTAGTTTGACGGAGTTGGGAGATATTGTCCTGGGACGATATTGGAAGCAGTAGAGAATGTTTGTGTTGTGTTGTGTGGTCTGAGTCTTTCATTATGGAAAAGTAAATTCTATTAATAATTTTAGAACATTAACGTGTGATCACTCCTCTTCTCTTTCACAGTAAGCTTTATCAGGGATCTGTCTGTGGTTTTGATGTACATGCAGGTAATTGTTATGTGGTCCTACCTGCTGCCACCAAAATCACAAGGTGGTCAGCTTTCTTGATCATGTCTCATTCTTTTTTCAGCAAAATATGCGACACTCACCTGACCTCCTTCGAGCCAGAGGCGTTAGGCAATTTAGTGGAGGGCCTGGAGTTCCACAAATTTTACTTTGATAATGGTAACTTTAATGGCTTTTTATGGCATTGTTTACAAGTTAGAGTAAATTGCCATGGGTTTTTAGTGTGGCCACGGGATGTGTACGTGTACTGTACCTCGTGTCACCACAGCTGTTTGCTTCTTACAAAGAGAAAAGTCGTGTAACATTGTGCATGTAAATCAAATGCAAATAAATGCAAGTATTTCTTTTATATATACTACTACTATATATATATATATATATATATATATATATATATATATATATATATATATATATATATATATATATATATATATATATATATATATATATATATATATATATATATATATATTAAAGTTTAACTCAGTGTCATATATTTTATGTATGTAAAAGAAAATATATATATATATATATATATATATATATATATATATATATATATATATATATATATATATATATATATATATTTTACACACATGCACATGCATGTGCGCACACACACGCGCACGCACACGCACACACACTAATTTCGTGAATTTGCTGAAATGTGTAAGATCCAATAGTGTTTTGCTTTTTATCAAAATTCAAACTACTGTGTATGTAGTAGATATAACACATACTGTACTGACAGTGGCAGTGAAAGTGGCAGCATGAACTATAAGAGAGACAAGAAGTGGTTGAAAGAGATCAAGTAGTGTGTGATAAAGTATTAAGGGGAAATATTAAGGTTAGGATATGATGATATTACATGAAGAAACTACAGTATTTACAAGTTGAAAGAGATGATGATAATTATGATAACCAAGACCTTTATGATGTGTGAATAAGATTATAGAATGAAGAGTAACTGAAAGAATTGGATGAACATGATAATTATATCTTTGTGTGGAGATAAGGGAGCTTCGTGTAATTGTAAAAGTCACATGGTCAGATCTCTATCAAGTGCAGGAGGTAATGTGGATGGTGGAGAAGTGACTGAGATCAAATCAATGGTTACAGAGAAAATGACATTAGAGTTGTGTAGGTCAAGTATTTCTATCAGAATGATAGTGTGGGTAATAATGAATACTGTACTATATCAGGATAAATGTGAAGACTTTGTTTATGTATTTTGGCAAGAGCTTATGTGATAATATGCAGGAGTGGATTGCCATATTAACCCCTTGTGTACGGGGTCGCCTCTTAGCTGAATAAAATTGTTTACTGTTAGCCGAGTAAAGCATTAAAAGTGGCGTCCCGTAGTGAAGGGGTTTGGACTGTGACGTGAGGTGGGAATGTAAATAAATGCAATGCGAGTCCATATGTGTGGTGCGAGTCCATTTGATGTTGTACAGTACAGTATTGCCGACTCCAATGCAGTAGAGAAAAACACTGGTCCTGTGAGAGAAAGAGAATGATTGAGACATGTGTGGAGTTAATGTTTATTTCTCAATACACTATACCTTCGTTAATTCTACAAAAAAGGGGCTCCTTATTCGGATCACATAAAGTTTTATATTTATAATTGCTGGTCAAACATTAATATTTTTGTAAATGTTCATACAATAATAATAAAGTAAATAATACAGTAATAAATAAATGTAACAGTTACATTGCGAGGTGAGCTGATAATATGTAGATGATATATATATCCAGGGAGAACACTAGCGTCCAACACGCATGCTGCATGGATAGTAAACAACAGGGTGTTGTCAAACGTACAGGCATCCATAATGCAATAATACCGGTAATTTATGTACCGTTTTATCACAATTGCATTGGTTTTACTTCCTCAAAGCCCTGCAAAATCTTTTGGATTTATATTATCATCAATGCAATTAACAACATTATCCCACAAATTTACTAAAAGACATCAGCTTTAAGGGGCTAAGCATCTCAACTGATGAGGTGGCAGCCTGCGCTGGTAACCCGCTCTCACATGATAGCAGCATGACCCAAGATTACATGCCACTAAGATGATTCTCAGATAGACGATTTCTTTCCAATTGGACAATTTCCAGAATGATTATAGCTAAAAATTGTCCATGCATCACAAATTCCATTAGAAATATTGATATCTCCGTTAACCAGAACAAGTGGTGCTGAGCATTTACGGGAATGAGAGATTTCCGAGTAACGAGACGACTCTCTCAAAGCCGGAAAAAAATCCCTCATCCCCGGAATTTTCTGGGTAATAGAAAAATGTTCTCAGAAGTTCCAGAAATTGTGCATTACATCATCTCTCAACGCCGGAAAAAATCCTTCGCCCCTGAATTTTCCAGGTAACGGAAAAATGTTTTTGGAAGTTCCAGAATTTGCGCATTATATCATCTCTTGAACATGGAAAAATATCCCCCATCCCCGGAATTTTCCGGATACCCGGAAAAATTGTCTCGGATTTACGGAAAACGCACCTGATTTTCATCTCTCAAACCCGGAAAAAACTCCCCTATCCATGGAATTTTCTGGGGACTGGGAAAATTTAATCAGAATTTTCCAGAAAATGTGCCCCTTGGAGAATCGTTCTCAAAGCCGGAATTTTCAGGAATTTTCTGGAAAATTCCGGCTTTGGGAATGACTCTTCAAGAAAATTTCAATTCCAGCTAACGGAGATATTACTGATGTTTATTATATGAATATATTATGAAATATATTAGGATGAATGAATTGTAGGAATATAATATGAATTATAGTAGGATTAACAAAATACCTATACAATATAAATTATATTAGAAATATTTTATTATTAAGATTACTGACTGTTTCCTCTCAAACTCATGACCTCACTATTTCCACCTGTTTTAGCCTTGATGCTATTATGAGGTCACCTGAGGTCAAGTGACCTGACCACAGGTCACTTGAATATAAGTTTGTTAACCTGACTTACTGACCGGCTCTACAAATACAGTACTGTACTTAATTTTTCAAGAATATGAATACCCTGTACAGGTATAACATAAAATATTTGTATACAAATGAAGAACATTTAATTATTAAATTAATAATAATTGTAATAATTAAAATAATAATAACCACAATAATAATTTGTTAATTCTAATATACAGTACTGTAATTCATTCTTCTTAATCTATTTCATAATATATGTAACTATATTAAACACAGTATTTCTAATATAATTTCTGATGTATGGACGATTTTTAGCTATACGTAATTGTCCATGTAAGATTCATCTTTCTGGGAATTGTCTTTTTGGGAATCATCCAAGTGGGATGGTAAAATCTATGAAGAAAAGACTATTGTCCAGATAGGAATCGTCCAAATGAGATGACACCTGACATAAACCTGCTTGAGGAGCCATGAGAGTGCAGGTGAACTGATGAGAATGAAATTTCAAGGTTGCCATGGGAGCCATGCGGTCACAGTTGACGTGAAGCAATGGGCCTGAATTTTCAAGCCCTTCGCCATGCAACTTTTTGGAAATGCTTGGTTATTTTGGGTTCTTTCTGGATTAAAATCTTTTTAATTCATTTAAAAACAAAAAACACACACATTAAGCCAACTTCAGAATTAAAATGATCCGGATTAATGAAGGTACAGTGTTCTTTCAAAATGTATCACAAAGAAAAGATTTTGTTATAATAAGGTCTGGAAGCTTGGTAATGAAATATATATATATATATATATATATATATATATATATATATATATATATATATATATATATATATATATATATATATATATATATATATATATATATATATATATATATATATATATATATATATATATATATATATATATATATATATATATATATATATATATATATATATATATATATATATATATATATATATATATATCTGTTTGATATACATTGACTAGTGATAAAAGAACCATATAAATATATGTCTTGTAACTCAGTATTAAGGTTGTGTGTGGAGAGCTTCACCATGTCATTTAAAGACCTGCTTAATGATACATGTATTGTATTGTTATTAAGAGCTCCTCAGTCCATACTGAAACACTACAGTTCAACTTTATTGAGATTTGAGTAAACTGGCCCTTGATCTAATTAGGAATATTAATACTGTATATGAATTACATGTTTTGTTCTGCTGGTGGCTGTACAGTAGTTAGTTCATATAAAGAATTATTATTTTAATGAAATATTTGTTATGATAAATTTCTCTTTTCTTAAATTAACTCTTTTTTTTTGTAACAAATTGATCTACATGTTTGTGTTCAGAAAATATTCATTAACTATTGATATCTTTTCAGTACTTGGGAAAAACTGTAAAACAGTCAACACAATGATCTTAAATCCTCACGTGCACCTGCTGGGGGACGATGCTGCCTGTATTGCTTATATTCGACTCACCCAGTACATGGATAAGTAAGTAAACCTAAAAAAAATTCTCAAAGTATTAACCCATTGTGCATGAGGTCACCTCTAAGATTGAATAAAATAATCTGGTGTTCGCCAAATAAAGTACATTATTAAATGTAGCATCACCGCTAGTGAAGAGGTTAAAATTTTTTAATGAATCTGATACTTCAGTTGAATCCCATAATTGGGATTTATCAACATATATAGAGGATTAGAATCTGGACAGTCTTTTTCAGTGACCTGTACAGTATGTACAAACATGCACTATAACTTCGGAGAGCCATCAGCATTGGGACCAAAACCGTGGCAAGTTTGTGAGCTGTATGGTTGACTACGTGAAGTTACTTCTTACATGTCCTCCTTCCATGGTCTCCTTCAGTGCCATCCTTTAATGGCCTCCTCCCTAAACCCCCTGAAGTATATCTCTGTTGACCCTATGGCACATTATGGTTCACTTTACTGGTATACAGATATAAAACATATATCCAGGCCAAAATCACACTACTGTATATTCATTATCGCTTAGGAAAAAATCATCTTGTCAGAACATAGAACAACTGAGACCATATGAAAATAAGTTGCAATAAACAAGCTGTACCACAGACTTAAATGGCTGACCACTGTTTTCATGGTGTGAGGGCAGCAGTACATTAAGGACAGTATGTCATCTGTTTCACATGAGCTCAGAGTTTGTTGAGGCTGCTAGGTGACTGATCTCTGGATTTCCGAGGTTCTATTTTGTATATACTGTACGTTAATAAGGATTTAAAATTATTTTTTATGATATTGATAAAGGAATTGAATTTTTTCAGGCAGGGACAGGCCCACACACAACAGAGCGAGGAGACAAGGGTATGGCATCGCCGTGATCACAAATGGCAGTGTATGCACTTCCATCGCTCTGGGTCCCCCTCAGCCCCTTTTGCACTGGGCACTAAGTAAAGCTGAAGGATGACACAGGGTACTGGTTACCCTAGAGAGGAACGGAGTAAATGTACGGTTGTTAGATCAGCCTCTGTGGAACGTCGTGGGTTGGAAACATATTAAACATCTCCCTCACCAGTGTTCAGGCCTCAACATAGCCATCCATCTTCAAAGGACCAAAGTGCTTCGAGACCTGAAGTGGTATTAAATTGCTGGGAAGAACTGTATTAAGATGAACAAAAAAGTGTCTCTCTTAACCCCAAATGTTCTGCAGATTGTCAACCTTATTCCTGGTGTTCTAGGAGCAGGTTAGCATTTGATATGCCAGATTCACGTTGGATTTCTTGATGGTTGCCTATATTTTGAAGATTGAATGTTCCCATTGTACTATTGCTACCAAGTATATTAATAGATGTGTGGCATAATTTTAGATTTAAAACAAACTCTCTTTGTTGGACAATTCTTCAGTGATATGTGCACAATTTATGGCTCATGAAGTTCTCAGATGCTAGATAGAAATAAATATGTTATTGAAAATACTTGTAGGAATGCATTTGTTCTAAGCATCTTACATTTGCCTAATATACAGACTCATTTCACATAAGCCACATCCATTTCTCATAGTTAGTTCTATTAACTATAAACAGAGCAAAGAATTAACTGTTTGATAATATTCTTGCTGAAAAAATTGCCATTGATGAGTACCAAGCTGAGTGTCGACGCTTCATCATCTTCTTCCCATCCTGTGTGTTGAGAAAACTGCTTCCATCATCTCGTGCTGCAGTACATGTTGGCTAAATCATCAAAATCCGTATGTCTGGAATTAATGGACATAACTTGAAATATGTTCATATTGTATATATATATATATATATATATATATATATATATATATATATATATATATATATATATATATATATATATATATATATATATATATATATATATATATATATATATATATATATATATGAATGTATGTATGCATGTATGTGAGTATGCATGTGTGTGTATATGTATATCCTGCCAAAAGCATTTTTGATATGTGAGCTGCCTAAAAGGAAATGCATAGGAGGTTGTAGATAAAGGCTCAGTGTTATTAAATTATTATGTATGAAACTGTTGTCCTTAAAGACCTTTATGTGGATTTTGGTTTTTTATCCAACATTTTTTGTGATGGAGAAACTGTCTTTTAAGTCTCTTCCCTCAGACTTAGGCACCTTGGTGTATCTTATCAACTTCTGCTTATTTTTAAATACATACCCAAGAATATTGCCTAATGCAGTTCATATATGCTTATCATTGTGGGACATAATGCAAGTCGAAAGTGTATCATTTCTTAAAATTTATAGGATTAAAGTAAAGTGGATTCTCAGAGGTGTGCCCACCCATATCTTTTCATATTTATACTTAGTCGCTTTGTGATCCATACCTGTGGCTGAGAGGTGAAACTCCATGTGTATGGCCTGGTGCTTAATGGTGTGTGACAATGTGGCCGGCCCGACGCAGGCGAAATGACCGGTGTCTATCTAGTCATTTGCTTTGCCGTTCACTTTTCTTACGTTACTTTTTTGCAGACAGTCTATGATAAGAATAGTTCCCAAGTCATTTTGTTATTTGTTTGAATTTGTATATTTGTAACAATAAGCCTTTTAAAGAGCTTGAAAGGAAGTTTGATATCTTTGTAGATTTCCATATACTAGGTAAATTTTGTGTGCATCACCTCCACTTTGGTGCCATCAACTTGTTGTTGCAGCTTGACAGGAGAGTAACATATTTATATTCATGTTTTTAAAGTAAAATTTATTCACTTCAATATGAAATATTGTTTTATCGCTAAGTGTCTTACTACATAAATATTAAGACCCTTATGCAGTAACCAGGACCACCAGGTGAGCTATAAGAGGCACCATATTTAGGACTTTTTTTTTTTATCATCTCCAACAACAACAACATCTCTGCTTAACATCTAAGTCCTCTGAATGTATCACAGCTCTCAGGAACAGTTGGTCCATCAAAACAAAATTCTTACTTAGTCCCTTAAAAAAAAAGATCTTGATTACTGTATTTTATATATATATATATATATATATATATATATATATATATATATATATATATATATATATATATATATATATATATATATATATATATATATATATATATATATATATATATATATATTCACACATACAGTATATATAAAGCTGTTGCCTAACTTAGCCATTGACTCCCGCATCACTTCCTCTCTTCTGGGCACAGATAAAGGATTCCTGGAGCAGCCTCTCGATTCCTGTTTACTCTCATTACACACCTGTTTTGGCGGAATAGTTCTCAAGTTCTGGGGTCAAAGCATAATTCTCAATCACAATTCAAATCTTAAACACCTGAATAAAAAAGTCAAGAAAATGGATCAGATATTAGCTTCTTGGATCAGACCCAAACTCCTGAATATAAAGTATAGTTCGTGGGTCCCACTTTAAATATCTTACATCACACCCGTCGGTTTCTTGATCAGACTCGTGCTCTTCGGGTCAGACTCAATCTCCTGAATACTAATTATGAACATTGGGTCCCTGATTACACTCTATGCTCTTTGGATCAGACCCTAAGCTCCTTGGATCACACCCTAACTCCTGGATACAGATCTTGGGTCCTGGACTGCTGCGTTATCATGCATGTTACTGTAAGCCAGATCCTGTTGGTGTCTTCTCATGTTCAACACTGTCCTGTCGTCACCACCGCCGCCATTGCTGTAGCCGCTGGTGAGAGGCTAACCAGCACAGCACCCAGCCAGGCAGGGTTTTGGGTGGAGAGACTTGGCCACCTCCCTGCCATCATCATGCTTGTGGCTGGTCCTACTTTGCGCCCGGTTGTGTGATTTTGCTCAAGTATTGATCAGCAACTAAATTGTACGTGGGCAAAAATGGTGCACTCGACCATCCTGTGTCAATATTTGGGCATAAATGATATGAGCGCAAGTTACGGTTATGTAATGGTGTACAAGAATTATCACTCTACTTTTTATTAAATGTCATATTTGATGGTTTACATAAAAGTATGTTGTATTGTTGCCTGCAGTTTTCTGTAATGTTTTCCACCCCTGCCTTTTCCTAAGCCAGCTTCAAGTATTTATCTCTTAGATTGTAAGAAAATGAGATTTTTTTCATTGTAGGTAGGACTTTCCTTGTTTGATCTATTCAAGAGCTTTGTGAAAGGCAGGCGCGCATGTTCTCAGAAAGCGCGAGGTTGAAGGGTAACCCCAGAAGTGGCCGTCCTTTATTTATCAGGACTAACCCAAATTCTTAGAAAGCTCTTGAGGAGATATGAATTAGAGTATTAATTTGTAATATTAGAGAATTTAAAGCCTAGGTGTAACTTCTGGTCCCTCAAGTGAAGCCTAAGAGTTTGGATCTTTTTAAGAGGATATACTCATGGGACGGAACATGGTCGCTGGCTACCCTCCAGCTGCTGTTTCATAATTTTTTCATATAGATTTTTGACCTAAGATGAGCTATTTTAAGACATTAACAAGATCACATGTGTTGTGTAGTCAATGTATTTGAACAAAGAATGTTGAACTCCATCGAATTTCCCTATAGATTATATCAATTGGATTTACTTAAGCATTTAATTGCAATTACAAATTTAAAACAAGCTGTTCTGTGTGTCATTTGTGCTTTATCATTTTCCCTCAGAAATTCAGACAAAGTAAGAAACTTTCATGGAAATAAATTCTGGAAATGTTGTCTTTTGTATTAATATAACCTACTGAATGACTTGAAACTTTTTTGAATGAGAATGAGATTATTATGACTGAATACAGTATGTGACTGATATTGTGTTGAAAACCTTCTTCATACTGCCTCACTGCAAACACTCACAAAAAAATCATAAATTTGTCTGTCTGTCTGTCAGTCTAATTACATATACTGTACAGTACAGAGTGTCTCATAAAAATATATATACACACTACCTTACAGATTATCATGGAGATCTTGGCATGACTGCTTGTACTGTATTTCAACAGCAACTTTGTCCTCACTTGTGGGAGACCTAGTATGTCAACAAGTGAGGACAATATTCATAGTGAAATGGTTGTAAGGATGTTAATTAGGGAATTACAGTGAGTTCTGCTATAACGCGTGTTTTGACAATGCGAATTGGCTCTAACGCGATTGATGAATCGAGGAAAAAAATTTGTAAAACGTGAACGCGTTTGCTCTAACGCGATTCCACTGGAAAGGTTGCTGTGGCTTGGCGCGGGGTTATGCAGTGTTTACAGTTCACATTCGATATCACATGTTCAATTGAGTTATGTGTTTTGTTTGTGAAGAATTGCAGAAATAATTTATGTAATATTTATGTGTGTGTGATGTAAACAGAGCGCTTGGCCTCTCTCTCTCTCTCTCTCTCTCTCTCTTTCTGTATGGATGGAATTCGTGGTGTAGATTGAGTGATACGAATGTCGTAACATTACTAGGCTGAAGGCGCCTGAATACTACTTAAACACATCAAAACTATGTTAATTGATCACTGTATAATAAATTCATTCACTCATAATTTCAAATTCCCTTATCATCCTGTGTTATATATAGAAATACTTGAGTCCCTGAGCGAGTACACAAAAAGAAAACGGAGGACTAAGACATCCTGAAGTGATTAGAGAACGGACATCTCTACTGGGGGACTCAAACGTTTCTCATGTTTTGTGGGCGCTCTAGCATAATATGAATAATATGTAAATTACAATTTACACACACACATATATATATATATATATATATATATATATATATATATATATATATATATATATATATATATATATATATATATATGTGTGTGTAAATTGTAAAAATTTAAATAAAGGCGAAAAACTAAATACGTAGCGTTTAAACTTTAAACGCTACGTATTTAGTTTTTCTCTTTAAACTTTAAAGTGTACTGTACAGTGGTGTGGCTTGGCGCGGGGTTATGCAATGTTTACAGATCACGTTCGACATCACATGTTCGATTGATTTATGTGTCTTGTTTGTGAAGAATTGCAGAAATAATTTATGTAATATTTATGTATACAGTATACTCGTACAGTGTATGTAAATTGTAAAATTTTAAATAAGAGAGAAAAACAAAATATGTAGCGTTTTAGACCCGCGCGCTCTGTTTACACCACACATCAGTCTGAAGCACGTGGGAAGTGTTTAGTGTCCTCAGTGATGTCTCATGACTGTTTCTCCAATTTTGTGACTATGGAAAAGAAGAATATCTCCGGGAAGCGTTCTGGTGATCGTAAAAGAAAGGCTATAACACTTGAAGAGAAGCTTGATGTTGTCAATCGTTTTGAAAATAAGGAAAGAACATGTGATATTGTGTGTGCAACGGGAATAAAGGAGTCTACTTTACGCACCATTAGAGACAATGCAGCAAAGATTAAACCAAGCTGTATTGCTGGAAAAACCTTGAGTGCTTGCAAAAGTGTGAGATCACGGCCAAAGGAACTTGAGGAGATGGAATGGCGTTTAAGTGTTTGGATAGAAGATCAAACGAAAAAACGATCTGGGACCAGCTTCCTCACCATTAAAGAGAAAGCTTTATCAATATATGAGGACCTAAAGAAAAACTGCACCTGATGATGATGATACTGATGATGACGATGACATCTGTCAAACCCTGTCTGCATGACACCTCAACATCAACCTTCTCCCCCATCAAGTTATATTCATATTTTTTCAAGGTAAAGTGTAACATTTCCTGTATGATTTCATTATTAGATATGAATGTAACATTTATTTAGACTGTGCTATCCTTTGTGTTAGGCTACCTACGAATTTTTTTTCGATTTCGAGTAATCTGCACCCAACCCTATTTTCTCCATAAGCCCTGTTATTTCCATTAAGCACATGGAAGTGCTGGGATGGGTGTGAAAGGGATCTGCCCTGTATGGGCCAGTCGGCCTCCTGCAGTATCCCACTTTCTTATGTTCTATAACATGATGTTTTACAAGAACACAACTATCACGTTATAGCAGAACTGACTGTAATTAATTAACCTGAAGGGAACCATCAGGCCAGCTTTCTTTGTAGATGTAGTCGGATGCTACTTGGCTTAGGCTCCACCCACCGGGATTGCCATCCAGAACCTTTGAATACACTGTGTGATTGAGAGCTACAATGTGTGGCTGAAAGCCACACTGTGTGGTTAAGAGCTACACTATGTGGTTGAGAGCTACAATGTGTGGCTGAAAGCCACACTGTGTGGTTAAGAGCTACACTGTGTGGTTGAGAACTAAATGTGTAGTTGAGCCACACTGTGTGGCTGAGGCCTACACTGTGTGGTTGAGAGCTACACTGTAGTTGTAAGCTACACTGTGTAGCAGAGAGCTACACTGTATGGCTGAGCTATGCTGTGTGGTTGAGAACTAAAATGTTTGGCTGAGAGCTACACTGTGTGGTTGAGACCTACACTGTGTGGCTGAGACCTACACTGTGTGGTTGAGAGCTACACTGTGTTGTTGAGAGCTACACTGTGGCTGAGTTATGCTGTGTGGTTGAGAGCTACACTGTGTGGCTGAGAGCTACACTGTGTGGTTGAGAGCTACACTGTGTGGTTGAGAGCTACACTGTGTGGCTGAGAGCTACACTGTGTGGCTGAGAGCTACACTGTGTGGCTGAGAGCTACACTGTGTGGCTACACTGTGTGGTTGAGAGCTACACTGTGTGGTTGAGAGCTACACTGTGTGGCTGAGAGCTACACTGTGTGGCTGAGAGCTACACTGTGTGGCTGAGAGCTACACTGTGTGGTTGAGAGCTACACTGTGTGGCTGAGAGCTACACTGTGTGGTTGAGAGCCACACTGTATGGTTGAGAGCTACACTGTGTGGCTGAGAGCTACACTGTGTGGTTGAGAGCTACACTGTGTGGTTGAGAGCTACACTGTGTGGCTGAGAGCTACACTGTGTGGTTGAGAGCCACACTGTATGGTTGAGAGTTACACTGTATGGTTGAGAGCTACACTGTATGGCTGAGAGATACACTGTATGGCTGAGAGATACACTGTGTGGTTGAGAGCTGCACTGTGTGGTTGAGAGCCACACTGTGTGGTTGAGAGCTGCACTGTGTGGCTGAGAACTACACTGATTGGTTAAAATATTTGTCGGTTAAGGAAACGCGCCTGATATGTACTAGACCAGAGTGAGGGTGGGGAAGGGGAGGTAATGCAGGAGGGAGGGAGAGTGAAGGTCGCCAACAAGGAAAACGGTAACTGAGAGAGAGACACAATGACAACATAAATAACAGAGGAATTAGAAACAAAAGAATAACTCTGATGCGTCTTCATCATATCCACCAAGTTCTTGATTATTTATGTAGGGAGGAGTGAATGAGAGCATGTGAGGGAGAGTGAGAGCTAGTTTACCCTCCCTCCCTCCCTCCCGCTGCCGGTGGTGTTGGTCGATGGTGGTGATCGATCCCTGAGGTGGTGGTGGAGGAGGTAGAGATGGTGGTAGTGGAGGTCTGCTTTTGATACACACCTTACTTCTGCTAATCCTCTGCTAGTAATCATGTTCCCTAGTCTGTTTACAATTAAGGATGTTATGTGAGTGATGGCGAGGTGTTGGTATGACGCATCACTGGACAAATCGCGTTAATGTCTGCCCGTGATGTTTGGCAAGATACGGTCTCCTCAAAAAAAAAAATAATAATAGTCTTTCCAGATGAATGATTGAATTTAAGCTGCTACACAAAGATGCTCCCAAGGTTAGGTGAGATTGATATAGACAGAATCTCATACAGCTAAGACAACAGGCGGGCGGACTATGTCTGCGGGAGTGAATGAAGTGAAGAGTATTGACCGAGATGATGGCGGCGGCGCGGTTGTCGGTACGTGTGGGGTGGTGCTGGTGGGCCCGTAGAGCTACCAGGCCACAGTGTACTCTTAACTCTGGCTACCATCGGGTGTCATCTCTCCTCCACAACACTGCCCACAACCCGACACACACTCACTCAGCACACACGCTTATACTGTTGTGTAAGTCGAGTTATCGGAGCCTCGCTGGTGGTGGTGTGGTCATAGTGGTGTGACCCCAAGATCATCTTCAACACTCGCTCTGTTGGGAGGCTCTAGTCAGCCCCCACACCAAGGCCACGTAAGTTGCTCTAGATTCCCGCCTATTTTTTTTAACCTCATCGTCTTATCGCTGTTAAGTGACCACACTGTCCCTCCTGCTGCTCCCACACTTCACCTCACAAGGTTACTGCTCCTCCGGTGTTCGGTTCTATCTGATATCACAACCAACTACCCAAGTCAATCTATTGTAAACCTTTAATTTTCTTAACACCGAGAGATACAGTTATTAATTATGTCGTGCTATTGATCTGAGGACTACTACTATTACTACTACTAATGACAGGTTATGACCCCGTCTGGGTCATGGTGGGCGGGTGGAAGGGACTGTGAGTGGACGGATTGAAGGGACAGTGAGTGGGCGGGTGGAAGTGAGAATGAATGAGTGGGGAGTGGGTGATAGGGACAGTAGGTGGGTGGGTGGGTGAAAGAGACAGTGGGTGGACGGGTGGAAGAGACAGTGAGTGGATGGGTGGAAGGGACAGTGAGTGGGCGGGTGGAAGTGAGAATGAATGAGTGGGTGGTAGGGTTGGTGGGTGGAAGGAAAAATGAGTAAGTGAGTGGGTGGTGGGGTGGGTGGGTGGAATGTGAAGGTGGATGGGGAAGGGAGGAGATGGTAATGATTCCCCTTCATCCCTCCCTCTCCTCCCCCACCCTGGGCCCGGGATGCCTCAGCACTGGAAAGGTTTCCCCAAATCCCACCCGGGGAAAACCGTACCTTGGAATCCGTGTTACTGAGACATTGATCAAAATTACGACTTTCGACTTCTCATAAAAATAATTATCCCTCCCTCCCTCCTTCTCCATTCCCCTACCCCTACACTAACGAAAAAATTGATAAAGTCTCTGTGGATTTTCGACGCAATTTTAACTTAATTGACCCATAATGACGACCTATAAAATTTAACGGGAGGGGGTGGGGGATCTCCCTTACGTATCCTAGACCTCAAAAGGAGGTTTCCAGACCCCCAGAGGGATTATCCTGGACACCAGGTGGAGTTCTCTAGACGCATAAGAAGTAACCCGCGTGTGACGTCAGATGTTGTAAGGGGGCGTGTCACTCTGAAACCCTCTCGCCTTCTGAGATAGATAGATAGATAGTACTGTTTCCATTGTTAGATATTATATTCGGTTCACTAACATATGGTTCTTCGGTTCCACTAAGGTTCCAATGGTTCCACTGTTCCAAAAAGGTTCCAATTGTTCTACACAAAGGTTCCACTGATTCTACACAAAGGTTCCTCTGATTCCATAAAGGTTGCACTGGTTCCCAAAAGGTTCTATTGGTTCCCCAAATGGTCCATTGGTTCTACACAATAGATCCATTGGTTCTACAAACGTTCCACTGTTCCAGAATCCTTCCAATTGTTCTACACAAGTTCCACTGATTCCACAAAGGTTCCACTAGATCCCTAAAGGTTTTACTGGTTCCCCAAATGTTCCACTGGTTCTACACAATAGTTCCACTGGTTCTACAATTGTTCCACTGGTTCCCCAAAGTTACCATTGGTTCCATAAAGATTTCATTGGTTCCATAAAAATTCCACTGGTTCCCCAAAGATTCCACTGGTTCCCCACTGGTTCCATAAAGGTTCCACTGGTTCCATAAAGGTTCTACTGATTTCACAAAGCTCCACCACTTGTTCTACACAAGTTCCACTGGTTCCATAAAGGTTCCACTAGTTCCACTATGGTTCTACAAGTTTCACCATTGTAATACAAGACACAATGGCCTTTACGTGTTGGTGTTAGGTTAGGTTAGGTTAAGAAGTCTCCCAGGGACGCGTGACCCACAAGTTCTTCTCGGTGATTCGACTCACATGAACGCCAAGCGACATTTATTTAACGTGACATTTACGCCAATCAACAGACCAGGTCCTCCAACAACAGACCTGACCCTCCAGTATATGGGAGGAGGAGGAGGAGGGCGGTGTTAATGTGTAAGAAGACGTAGAGAGGAGTGGAGATAGTGGGGTGGTAATGAGGAGGAAGAAGAAGAATAAGGAGGATGGTGAGTAGGAGGAGTGGGAAGATGAGTGGGAGGAGGAGGATGGTGAGTGGGAGGAGGACGAAACAGAAGTGGTAGGAGAATGAGTGGAAGGAATGGAATGGATTTTGGGAGGAGGAAAAGGAAACGGGAGGAGTGGGAAACAGAGAGAAAGAGAGGGACGGAGGGAGAGAAGGAAGGCGGATGGGATTAAACAACTAGATGGTGAATATGTCATTACTCGTCACTGCACAAGAGCGATTATCGTACATTACAACACTATTATCGTTCACCAAAACCCTCCTCTGTTTACATCCCACTTACGACACTATGAGAGATTCCTAAATCTTAAGAAAAAGGCATTATGACAGGGCGTAAATATTAAACAGAAACTCTATTTAATATTTCCGTTTTGGCATAGTTGCTTGTGTCATTCCTCACCTGTTTAGTTATACTGTAAGACAAGTTAGATTAAGCTAATACAGAGGTTGAAGACCCACTTGGCCTACAGGTGGCGGGAAAGCGGGCACTACAGCAGCAGAAACAACAACAGAAGCAGCAGGAGGAGGGTGAAGGGGCGGCGAAGGTGTAGCAGGTGTGGTTGTGGGTGGTGTCTGTGTCTTTGTCTGTGTCCGCCCTCTGTGTCGTCAACATGTATGGGGGGGTAAGTTGTCCACCGTGTGTGTGTATGTCTCCACCGCCCCCCTCCCCATCCATAACCTAACCTAACTCCCAGCATCAGTCGTGTTGGTTCCACCTGGTCTATAGCTCATTAGATCGTCCAGGTGTGCCTCTAGATCGCTAGTTAGTTGCTCTAGATGACCTCCTTCACTACTGTAAAGGCCTAGATGACGAACAGTACACTAGAGTGGGGGCTTGTTAGCTAGTAGAGCGAGCACTTGTTGCAAAAGTTACCAGATGCACTTAGCCGCTGCTCGCGTTGTGCTGGGTAGTGGTGTTCGTAGAGCTTGTTGTGTGATCTTAATCTGTCATAAGCCTTCATATGTATACTGGAACTATACATTAGCTGTATACTGTATATACATCTTGTAAATATATTCACCCCTTTTAAAAATATAAGATAACTAAACTTATTTTTATAAACAAATGTGATTTTTACCTACATTAGTTACTTTCTGTTCAGATAAATGTTATTAGCATGTTTTTATTTTAGGTTTTTCTTCACTTGTTTGTCCATCTATTCATTTATTCATATTATGTCTATTTGTTGTGTCGTGTGACGGGTGTGGTGGTGGAGGGAGGGAGTAGTGTAACCCCTCCCTCCCTCACACCTCACAGCCTCACGACGCATCATGTGTGTTGACGGCTGTGGCCTCCAGTTTATGGGTGCTGTCAGCGGCTCTCAGTGTCATAACTCACAGGTAAACACAGACTTAAAGTTTACATAGACGAGAGGAAATACAGGTTTGTTGGATCACCTGAAGATTCACTCCCTCAGCTTATTTCACCTGAAGATTCGCCCCTCCCCAGCTTATTTTATCTGAAGATTCACTCCCTCAGCTTATTTCACCTGAAGATTCGCCCCTCCCCAGCTTATTTTATCTGAAGACTCGCCCCCACCCAGCTTATTTTACCTGAAGATTCACTCCCTCAGCTTATTTGACCTGAAGATTCACTCCCTCAGCTTATTTCACCTGATAATTCACCCCCAAATTTATGAAGTTATGTTAAGTTAGCTTAAGTTGTGTTAGGTTAGTTAAGGTTAAGTCAGGTCAGTGCTAAACCAAACGAGGTCGGAGTTAGACGTGAACTATATAAACCCACAAGATGAGGTCATTAAGAAGACTAACGACGCCATCACCAGAATACAAGACAAAACGATCAACACAAAATCCAATGGGAATGTTGCACGTGAGTTAGATCAATGTTAATCACCAACCACGACCACAGTGTTTATTTTTATGTATTAGATCAATGTAACTCAATAACCACGACCACAACTACTATTTGTTTCACTATTAGGTAAATGTAACTTAATAACCAAACTAAAGGCCTCATTATAATAGTAACTGGTAACTGAGGTTAGTATCTAGAGTCACCTCACCACAAGCGTATCATGTCACTGGGCACCTCACCTCACCAACAGCGTATCATGTCAATAGGCACCTCACCTCACCAACAGCGTATCATGTCAATAGGCACCTCACCTCACCAGCAAACTAACACGTTACAAAGGTTCCATCAACACACCTGCTGCCTCTCTCACACACCTGTTTCCTCTCACACACCTCCTGCCTCTCAAACACTTTCAGCCTCTCACACATCACCTGCCTCTCACACACACCTGTCTCACCTGCCTCTCACACAGCACCTGTCTCACCCACACCTGCCTCTCACACACCACCTGCCTCTCTCACAGCACCTGTCTCACCCACACCTGCCTCTCACACACACCTACCTCTCCCACACCTGTCTCTCCCACACCTACTGCCTCTCACACAGCACCTGTCTCTCCCACACCTACTGCCTCTCACACATATAAACTATCTAGTCCACATTGAAATTGTTTACAGGTTAAATAAAAGTAAATAATGAGACGGGATTAAAGGAGATGGACTGTGTAGATGCAGTCGTCAGGGAGGGGGAAGGGGCGAGGGAGGGGGGAGAGGGTCCTTTAGTCTCACGTTGGGGCCCTCCTCTGTGCTCTCCTCCTTCAATTCCTCCTTCCTCCTCACCTTCCCTTCTTTACCTGGGGTCTACCTCCCTGTGTACCATGTAGGACCTCCCTCTGCTTGTCCTACGGGGGGTCTACCTCCTTGTATACCGTGTAGGACCTCCCCTGGGGTCTACCTGGGGACCACCTTCCCCTCTCTCACTATTTACCCTTCTGAGAATTCCCATCAGGTTAGTTCAGGCAGAAGTGTCCGCTTACCTTTCTCTTTACCCAGCTGAGGGTCGACTCCTGTGGGGCGTGTAGATGGCTAATGTGGTTTTGTAGGCGTGGTTAATGTGATTTTGTAGGTGTGGTTTTGTAAGTGTGGTTAATGTGGTTTTGTAAGTGTGATTAATGTGGCTCGGAGGCATGGTCCACCTCCCCTCTCTTGCAGGCTGTGTTGTAGGTCATCAAAGAAGTCCTCCCCTCTCTAGTTACTCAACATATCGCGTGAGAGTCTATCTTGCTTAATTCTACCCCTCACAAGGTTCCCCCCCCCAAGACCTCACCCCACCTCCTGACCCTCCTAATACTTAAAAGGATTCTACCCCTCACAACCCCCCCCTCCAAAGGCTTCTCAAGGCTGTCCCAAGACCTTACCCTACCTTCTGACCGTCGCAAAAGCATAGAAGGGGCGAATGTATCAACACAACACATATATCTAACTGTCATTCACACCAAATACCTCTTCTTCCTCAACTTGGACTTCTAACTTAACATCATAATCACTCAAATTTAACCTTCGTCTCGTGTGATAATTTCCCTTCCACTAACTTCTCTTCCATAGGCATCTGAGTGAATCTAGAAACTTAATATGTAAGGGTGTAATTTTTTTTTTTTTTTTGCGTTAATGAGATTATTGTTAAGTTGAGGTAAGTTTATGTAGATAGTTTATAAGAGTAAAGAGAAGATTGGGATGTGAACCTGATGTTAAAAAAAATCCTCGGGGAGCCTCAGTGAAAGATTGGTTTTAGTCATAATAGGAAAGGAACGAGAGGAGGGCGAGGGAGGTGAGGGAGGACAGTCAGGAACAGGGAAGCAGGAAAGGGGTGAGGTGAGGGTGGCAGGACATGGGTAACAGACAGAGAGGACAGTGAGATAGGACAGGGAGGAGGAGGACAGACAGGGAGGAGGAGGACAGATAAGAGGACAGACAGGTGAGGAGGATAGGAGGGGGACGGCGAGGTGAGGAGGATAGGGAGGGGGGGGACAGGGGCGAGGTGAGGAGGAATCGTCACCAACGCTCACAAACGAAGTTGGCTTGATTTAATGACTCGTAGACGTGACTAGAGTAATGACTTGGAGACCCCATCCAACCCCCCACACCTACAGCCCTTGCGCTAATCCTTCCCAAAATCCAACCCCTTCCCTTAACCTCCGCCTGCTCCTACACCTATCCCTTCCCCAACCCCTAATTCTCCCCCACACCCCAAACCCTTCCTCCTTACTCCCCCATCCCAACCCCTACTCTAATCCTGTCTCCTTGCCTCTACCTACACCCCTTCCCTAACCTCCCCTCCTCAACCACCCCCTCCCACACCCCTTCCCCTAACCCTCCCATCCTCAACCCCCCTCCCACACCCCTTCCCCTCCTCAACCACCACCCCTTCCCCCCACACCAAAACCTCCCCTCTACCGCGCTCCACCTCACCCCAAAATTACCGTGTATAATAACACTTGAACAAGGGGCCGACTGTTCCCTCGAGTATAAATAACAAAAGAAGAACAAAAGCAACACGTGTAGATTATATAGAACATTTTATCACCATTGGGTATTCTTATAGATGTTTGTTAAGGAAAATATTACTGTTTTTTGTATGATAATAGTGGACGAGTTTGATGTGGATATGTTTATTTTTGGTGGTGGTGGTAGTTGTAATGATCGTAGTTTTGGTGTTTGTGGTAGGTGTAGTGATGATGGTAGTCGTTGTGGTGGTGGTGGTTGTAGTAGGTGTGGTGGTGGATTTAAGCCCGGCACTGGGATTTAAGCCCGGTACTAGGAATCAAGTTTGGCGCTAACAGTTTCGTCAGTTGAAAATCGATCTAACCAGCGTGTGCCTCAGCTAACTCGCCCACTGGTGACGGCCGAGAGCTCTACGGTGTACCATAGACTACCATATACTACCATAGACTATCACAGACTACCATAGACTACCACGGACTATCACTGGCTACCATACACTACCATAGACTCGCAGAATACTATATACTACCACAGACTACCATAGACTATCACAGTCTATTATACACTACCACAGACTACTATAGACTATGACAGACTACTATGCACTACCACAGACTATCACAGACTACTATACACTACCACAGACTACCATAGACTACCACAGACTACCATAGAATGTCATAGACTATCACAGATTACCACAACCATCACCATCATCACTACCACCACTACTACCACCACTACAACCCAGCAGTCAGTAAAGTGAGGGAAGACCTACAGTATCTCCAAGCTACACCCCCCCCCCAACCACACCCCCTGCGTAACACACTAACCATTTTTTTTAAATGGTGGGGGGGGGGTGGATAAGGGTCTTTGTACATGCATAGGTTCTTTAGATTTGGTTTAGTTTGGTTTGGTTAGGGTAAGATAAGGTAGGGTAGGGAAGGGAAGGTTAGAATAGGTTATATTAAGTTAGGGAGGTACTGGAAGGTTAGGTTAATGTTAAGCTTGGCTAGATCAGGTCAGGTCAGGTCAAGGTTGATTACATTAACACTGGAAAGATTTAAACCCCCAAATTAACAGGTAGGGCCAACATTGAGGTGAAATAAACTGGGGGGGGGATAATCTTCAGGTGATCAATTATTCCACCCCGCCTCACCACTCGTCACAACCACTATCTCTCAAGTAACTCACAAACAACCACTATCTCTCTCAGGTAACTCACAAACAACCACTATCTCTCTCAGGTAACTCACAAACAACCACTATCTCTCTCAGGTAACTCACAAACAACCACTATCTCTCT